AGGCCTTTGGCCTTGTTGGACCTCATCCCATTGGTCTCAGGTCCATATTTTTTTCCAGCACCTGGAGCTGTTTTTTGCCCTGTAAACAGGACTTAAATCTTTTCTAGCTGTGAACTTCTCATGTGTTTAGTTCATTTATTGATTTAATTTTCTCTTTTCATCCTGGTTTGCATAGATCTTCCCTGTTCTGCTTCCCTCTTGATGAAATAGTATTTGTAGATGATGTGACAGCTCCTCTTGGAGGAGGGGTGTAGCAGTTGTTCCATTTGGAGCAGTTTCCATGTGTGTGGGCTGTTCTTGGGTGGGTGGTTGCCATGGATTGAGCAGTTGGCTTTACTCGAAACCGTGCCACCCCAGCTGGGCTCATACTTCTGCTGACAGGCCAGATCAGGTCCTTTTATTGATGCCTTCAAGCCTAACAAGCTATTTAGAAAGTAAATTTGCAGACTGGGCAGCAGCAGAAGAGCAGAGGTCCCGTTTTGGGCTGAGTTCTGGGCATGGATGATGCCAGGGATGTGGCTTGGGTGGCTTCACCCACCATCACTGCATCTCATGACTGAACCAAGGTCAGGCTGGCTGCTGGGGGCTGGCGCTGAGACCTCTGTGGGTGCTGGACAAAAGGTGGTGTGGGAACCATCAGGTAAAGCTGGTGGGCTTTACCAGCAGGTCTCTGCAGCCTCCTGTGAGAGGAGTGATGTTGCTTTACCAGCCGTGCCAAACTCCATAAAGAAAATGATTTCCTCTTTAATTGCCCCGTGGCCCTGAGCTGACTAATAGCTTTCACTTCCAGCCTAACCTTCATCACTCTGCATGGCTGTTAGAGGTTTGCATCCTTTCACTTAAGGCTCTTCCTTACAGGATGTGCTTTGGAGGTGTAAATTGCTGTTTTGGCTTTTAGCCCCTGACGTTCTGCAGAACACAGGCCTGCAGGGATGCTTCTGGGGCCTGCTTGAGCCACGAAATTCTGCTTAGGTGCTGTGGGAGCTGCTCCTGGGTCGTGAGATGGGCAAACTGGGTTTACCTCAGGGCCCTAACTGGGTTCCACGTACTGAGGTACTGGTGGGCTGAGCCTGCTGCCAGAAATCAGCCTGTTCCTCCTGCTCCTGGCAACAAAAAACTCTGTCCCCTGCTTGCCTCCTCATCTGCCTCCTTGTGCAGCTCAACACGCTCACAGAAGGTGGGCTGAGGGTTTGAAAAGTTGAGCCTTGGAGGAGCTGTTAGTTAGGGGATAGGCTGTTGTTGCTTTTTAGATAGTGTCCCTGTTCAACAAGAATAGTTCTGCTGGAAGTGGATAAGATTCTTTGGAGGGTTTGTGCTTTATCTGTCATGCAGAGGGTGCTGCTGAAGTTTATCTCCACGCAGCTATCCCTGCTGTAATTATTCAGTACAGAACCATTGCTTCAAGGTGGGGCTGGTTTTACAGTTTTTCAAATGTTTTTTTTTTCCTTTAATATTATGTTTTTCCCCAAGGGGGGTTTCCCCTTCCCCCACCCAAAAAGAGAAGCAAGTAGGATTATCATTATAGACTCTTTTTAAAATTCACAGTAGTTTCTCAAATGCACAATTTTCAGAACATCTTTAAGAAGTCTAATCTAAACCAGGCAGTTTTAAGGTTTGCATTCTCTTTAGTCCCATGAATTTATTGCCTGAAAACCCCAAACAGAGCCAAGACTTTCCCTCCAGAATAAGAAGGGGTTTGCACATGGGCAATTCAGTTTTGCTTCTTGGTTTCGACAGGACAGAACTATCCCAAAAGTGTGTGCAGCAACATTTTTAGTGGACACCTGGAATGGATGAAAAGCAGAGAGGCAGAAAATGAAGTTCAGCATCCACTGAAGGGGCATAAAATGTCTTTATAGATGATGTTCCTGGTGAATAGAACTGTAGGATTGTATGGCCTGAGTATTTCAAATTCTCCTGGGAGAGCTTTGCAGCTTGGAGAGGGTGGTGCTGGCTTGCTTGCACTTACCCATTGCTTCCCTTTGTGTACGTGATGTTATTTATTTGTTATTTATTTGTTATTTATTTGTTATTTATTTGTTATTTATTTGTTATTTATTTGTTATTTATTTGATCCTAGGGGTCCTTTCCAACCACAGCGATTCTATGATTCTGTGATTCTATTTGCTGGTCTGGTGCTGATGAGATTTTGTCAGCCCTATTTCTGCTCTCCATAGCAAATCAGGCATCAACCCCCCAAAATCAAAAATATTCAAATGAATGAGCATTTGGGGCATTCTGGAAGCTGCAGTCAGGTTCCAGGCGCTCTCAGCGTCCCGTTGAGTGGGGTTTTTTTTGGATGGATCTGTGTGGCTTTTGGTCATGCTTTTTTAGCTTGTAACAGAAAAAGCAGCTTGGTCTCACCTCTGAAAAATTGATGTCTACTTTTGTCTGTGCTGCAGAGCCCTGGCACGGGCAGGGCAGCAGGGCCACAGCCAGCCCCTGAGGCCAGGCAGAGCCTTTGCTGAATCACGGCTCGCTGCCGCCCTGCCAGGGTGGCACAGGGGCTCAATGCTCTATTCAGAGGGAAAGGGGAAGATCTTTGGCTCTGTCAGATGCTGCCCACGGAGCCAGGAGATGACCCTGCGGCGGGGTATGCGAGTGGTCAAGCTAGGAGTCCTTTCTGGATGCTGTCCCAGGAAATTCTTGTCCAGGGGCAAGAAAGGATTAAATCGTAGAGTCCTGGAATTGTTTAGGTTGAGAAGGAGCTTTAAGATCACTGAGGCCAACTGTTAAACTCAGCACTGCCAGGTCACTGCTAAGCCATGTCCCTCAGCACCACATTTCCACAGCTTGGAGACCCTCCAGGGGTGGTGAATGTGCCTTTCCAGGGAGATCTTTCCAGGGAGATTGACTTACTGCTCTTCTCCAGAAATGAATAGGGAGGAAGAGAGAAAAGGATGCAGAGTAAGGAAACAGCCTCAGTTAAATCCAGCACAGCAGGTCTGTGAGCATTTTGCCTCTGGGTCTGTGTTTGGGAAGCAAAGGTGTCAATACCTGTAGATATTTAGTGAACTGGGCTGGGAGGGCTGTTAGGAGCAACCAGGTGTGAGTGGGGTAGGAACTGCTTCTTCCATCCACATCTTCTGACCAACAGACAGGGCAGAAACTGCAGTCCCCAGGGCTCTGTGTGTGTGTTTGGGGCAGAGAGGTCACACCTCTGGATGTGCACACCCACAGCAGCACATTCATGTGTTGTTTTACTCTCATGTTCATGCCCAAGTTGCTTTTGTGCCCTGTACGTGAGGTTCACACCATATTTTAGTCTTTCAGTGCTAAGGAGACCTGGAGGGAATACCAAGCATTGGCCAGATGAGACTGAGGTATAATCAGTCTGCTCCTTCCAGCTCTGGGAGGAAGGCAGCCAGATGTCCTGATAATTAAAGCCCACCATTTTGGGGGTAAAAATTGGGTACTTAATTCTTTCCTATTTCATATGTCCATTTTTATGGGTGATTTCCTTTCAGAACAAGTTCCTGAACTCGTAGTTCTCTCAAGGCTTTGCTGCTGTCTGAGGCAGAAATTAAATTGCATTGTCATCTTGCTAAGGCTCAAAAAAAGCTGGGTGGGAGACCTGGTTACCAGCCCTGGAGTTTCTCCTGTATGGTTCTATACATCCAGTTAATTTATTGCCAGCAAACAAAACCACAGGAGTTTGCTTCCTTGCTGCTGGTAAGCTGAGCATCATTGCTGGATTCATTTGCTCCCCGTGGTCATGGCCAATGTGGGATTACAATAATAGCTGATTATTAATCACTGCCAATGGCTGTAATTATATCAGTTATTAGGAAGTCAGCTGAAAGCAATGTCTGTCCAATGGAGAATAAGGAGAAGCGTGGTCCTTGCTTCACAGAAATGGATCGTGTTGGTTGGTGAATTCATTTCCTTTTGCAGATAAATGCACATTAAGGAAAATAATTCTGAATTTTAGCAGCTTTCTACGTCCACTCCAGGGTCCAGAGCTATTTATTGTGCCTCACTCTGTGCCATGGTGTTGGCTTTCTGCACTGCAAGAAGGATTCAGGGTGAAGCAGCCCTTGTGCTGTCATCTCAGACCCAGCACTAAGTGAGAGGCTCTTTTCTAAGAGTGCCTGCTCCAAATCCATCTCTGGAGAGTTCTGATTTCACAGATTCACTGAATCCCAGCGTGATGGGGGTGGGAAGTGACCTCTTGAGATCATCTCATCCAACTCCCCAGCTCCAGCAGGGTCACGCAGAGCAGGTTGCCCAGGATCAGGTCCAGGTGGGTTTGGGATCTCTCAGAGAAGGAGACTCCACACCAGGATGGTCATTTTGCTTGGAACATCTGACATAGCTGTGGAATTTTGATGGGTATCTGGGCAGAAGTTGCCTGTGTCCTTATTGTGATGGATGCAGTGACTGGTGCAGAAATGTTTAGATCTTCCCTTTATTCACAGGGAACATTTGCTCCTTTATGTGTCTTTTATGCCAAATCTGTTTTCCTTTTGGCTCATGCCCATAGGTGAAGTTTTTATGTCCTCTGAGAGTGGATTGCTGTGACCTCCTGTGGTGGGAGCCTGGTGCAGCTCTGCTGAAGAGAGATGTCTGGCTGGGGCAGCCCTGTTAGGTCCCAGTTTGGCACATTAGTGCTCCCTTCCTGCTGCCCTCCTCCACCTAGTGACTGGGTAAAACATGCTCCTGGTGGATCTGGAGGTGCTGGATCCTCCAGGGAGTATTTCAGCACTGATGTGAAACCCAGTAGGTAACATCCCTTGATCTGTGACCTTCCCTGGGCACAACAGTGAGATTTCAGGGCTCATCAGGAGAAGGGAAGAGATGAAAGAAAGACTGAAAAGATGCTTGGCTATTGTGGGCTCATGGCTTGCAGTAGAGTGTTCAACACTGCTGGAAATGGGCTGACAAACCCGAATTGTCTCGTGGAGCCAAAGGAGCCGTGCTCCAGGTGGAGGTGTGCTGTGTCAGGTTGTGCCTGACGGGGGTTTGTGCTTCCTCTGCTCCTCAGGTACCTTTGCTGAGAGACGGCGGAGCAGCGCCAGGACGTCAGCATGATGGAGGATCACGCAGCTGCCCAGGAGAAGCACATCCCATCAGGTGAGCTCCAGGAGGAGGCGGTGGCAAGGACCTGCCTTGCCCACTGCTGAGAGAACGGCTGAAGTGGGGAGAGCTGGGCCAGCGTGAGAGAGGTGCAAGGGGTCCTTGAGGAGAGGGTAGGTCTGTCTGGAAGGCTGCCGTGGATCAGCTGGCTGCAGCCCGTGCACAGTGGGTAGCCCACGAGATGCTCTGATGTTCCTAGCCCTAGGAAAATGCTGCTCTTTGATATTGTTGCTTAGCAAGAGCAGAACAACCCCCAGCCCCTGGACTAGTGACCATCTTACTGCTGCAGCTTTGCAAGTGCGTGTTCTGCCTTCACTCCTCAGTTTGCTCCATCAATACAGCACTGCTTTTATTTGGAGACACAGCTCACAGATCCTGCTTGCTGCCTGCTTTCCTCACCTGCACAGGGGGGTGGGGGGAGCTGGACAGAGAGCTCTGGGAGCGAGGGTCATGCCAGAGTCTTTTGCCCCATATTTCAGACCTGCATTTCTCAAGAAGCCTTTCCTTTCTCATTCCACCATGCTCCACAACTGAGCTTGGAAACCCACCTAACGCCAGCAGACCTGGTGGGACTCACTCCCAGCTATGCTCCATATAAACATCATCTGAATTTTCTTTTCTTGAGGTGCTTTGGACACAGCTTACACCACATGAATGGGTTGTCTCTGTCCTGGAGAGAATCCATAGCATCCATTCATCCTGGGTTGTGTAACGGATTTCAGTCGGGCAGCTCCTCTCAGCTTGTAGCCTCAGCTTTGCACATCACAGGTTCCCAAGGATTTTGCTCGTGTTAGTTTAAATCTTCTTTCCCAAATCATTTTCTCCAGTTCTCATTATTTTATTTACCCAGACTCCTTGCAGAGGGGAGACTTGTGCCTCTTGCCCTGCTCTTCCAAAAGATGAGCTTTGCCCAGGCCTTTGCACAGGACGTTGTGTGCCACACTGAGCCCTTCACAGGGACCCGCTGGCTTGCAGGGATTAGAATTAACACCCCGTGGAAGCCTTTGGCAGCCTGCTCTGGGAGGGAGGCTATCCAGAGGTGGCAGAGAGGACCACAGTGACTCAGAAGCTGGACATCTTTTCTGCTGAGATCTCCTTCCCTGCTTGTGCCATGCTTTGCTGTTCCTAGCTCTCCGGGTCGCCGGACTTTTCTTTTGCTGATGACTTTCTGCTTGTTCCTTTTGGTGGTGGCACTGGTGCTTTTGGGTGGCATTTTCACGCTTTGCTTGCTTGTTAGTTTAGGTGGTTTATCCTCTCCAATTATAGTTTCTTGCTTCTGTGGATCTGGGCGATCAGAGTTCATAATGCACGGGCCATAATTCACACAGCCAAGGACTCCTTCTAAGTATTTGAATGTTTTCCAGGCTATCCCCTTCAGATACCAGTCGATGATGGATCGGATGAGCCTGTTTCTGAAACATCTGACGCTAAGAGCACCCCAACTACGGAAGGTGGGAGCTCTTTGACTTACTGCTTTGAAACCATGATGGATGGGGCCGTGGTGAACCTTGCCAGAAGCCTCACCGTGCTGTGTTCTGGTGGGGTTCCTCAGGAGGAGTGTCTGCACCCTGCACAAACGCCCTTCACCCATCACAAGTGGGGTTTGCCACTCCGCAGAATGAGATCATGAGCTTTAAAGGTGGAGAGTGGGTTGGAAAGCAAGAGAAGGTGAAGTTTTTATTATAGTTTGGGAAGTCACTTGTGGTTTGTTTCCTGAAGTGTTTTTTACATAGGAGTTCCTGTTAGCTCAGTGCAGCCAGGAGCAATCCTGGGTTGGCTGCTCCCAGGGCCAGTGGTTTGGATCATTGTGTTCTCCCAAGACAGCATGTCCTGGTCGCTGGGTTCCCTTTCAGAGACAGCTGTACCTCAGGGCTCAGTTTTTTCCCCTCTATATTTACCTGTTCATTAGTACAGCAAGACTTAGGCTGGAATGATGAGATGGGCAGAGTCTCTATGTGAACCAAAACTTTGTGCTGTTGTGAAGGCCATATAGGTAGGACTCAGGGCATGTCTGTGTTGCTCCAGATGCCATGTTAGTAGAAAGAAGCTAATTCTGAAGTGGTCCAGAGCCTTGTTTACTCTTTTTAATTAACTGCACATTTTGTGTTCCTCTGGCTGCTTTAATCCCAAGTATCTTTCTCTTGGAGACTTCAGGTAAAGGCATTTGTTGGCAAGGATTATCTAAAAGAAGGGTGGTCAGGGCTGCTGAGCAGTTCCAGCCCTGTCCTGCTGGAGGCCTGGGCTGGCTGATTGTCTGTAAAGCAACTGTTTTGCTAGGAACATGGCTTGAGGAATCAGCACATAAAACCTGGCTTGTGCAGGAGGGGATATTGTCTCTCTTTCTGGTTAGACTGGGACAGAGCTGACTGGTAGCTGGAGCCAGGTGTCTGTCTCAGGGCTGCCCAGGGAGCGACGCAGCCACAGCACTCAGGTGGTTTGTGAAGGGACCCGTGTGATGGGAGCTGTTCTTTCCTGCTCCAGACCAGTGCTGTGCCCCTGCAGAGAGCAGCTCAGGCACCAGGGGCTGCCTTTAGCTGTGTGTTTTCAGACAGTGTTCATGGTAAAGATCTTCAGCTTCTTAAGGAGGACGCTGGAGGTGTGTGGTTGGCGTGGCAGAGGGGACAGCTCATGGTGTCCCTGTGATGCTGGCTTTGCTCTGTCACACTTGGTTGTCTCATTGTCTCCCTCTACAAGTGCTGGCTCAAGGGGGGAGTCGAGTGTTTTCCTGAGCCAAAAGTTCTTCAGGCATGGCCTGGACCCCACAGGATTTCCCCATTCAACAGCTCTGTGAAAGCTGCGTTGTTTTTCAGATGCCACAGCACCTTTAGTGGAGGAAGGAGACCACGAGGATCAGGGTGGTGTCGAACAGCACGGGGAGATCCCAGAAGGAACCACAGGTGAGGGAGACCGAGGTGCAGTTTCATCTCTTGATGCAGACAGAGCAGAGAGCTGGACTGGTTGATGCTTAAAAACAACCCTGCCAAACCTCTCGCAGGGGTGCTTCCCTCCTGAGGCGTGCTTCTTTCTTCTCCACGGCCTGCAGAAATAACTCCTAGCTTACAACTGTCATCTTGCCTTCCCCATCCTGGGGGAAACTCACAGCCTTTTCTTCTCTTTCATCACTCCCCATCTGACCAGTCTTTCTGTGTGGCATTTGGTGGCTTCGCCTCCCATCTCCCGGCTAAGCGCTTCACCTGCCGATCCCGGTCATCCCTGCCCCTCTGCCAGCAGCTCTGTGTGCTGGCCAGGCCAGGTGGCCATGGCAGGACCTCGGTGCTTCTCTTGCTGGTGCTCTCCCTCAGCCCAGCCCCTGCGGTCGTCTCCGGAGTGGCAGGAGGAAACCAGGCCACTGCAGCAGCCCCGTGCCTGCCGGCGCCTCTTAAGGATAATGCAGAGGAAGCGAAGTGGCTAATTCAGCCTGAATGCTCCGTGGGGAATCGCTGCACCTGGGCCTGCCCTGCCAGGGAGGGATGGGAGATTTCGGAGGCAGAGCAGGGAGGGAGCGAGCTGCAGCAGCGCTGTGGGTGTCCAAGAGGGCAGGAGCTCCTGGGACAGCCAGGTCTGTGTGTGAAAAAGGAGCGTGTGCCCCCTGCGCGGGAGCTGCTGGCTTCTCCTGGAAGCATCGGGCAGGACCTGAGAGAGGTAGTGGGTGGAAATGGGCTTCTGCCAATGGCCAGGTGCTGAAATGAGCCCACAGCACATTCCCTCAGGCAACCAAATGGTCTGTCCTGCATCCAGGCCCCAGGCTGCTGGTGGAGCCCTGGGCTGGAAAGCAGACTCGCCTGCTAGCCAGGCTGCACAGTCTCTGCTTCGAGATCTGACTGTGCCAGGGGGCCAGGGAGAAGCAGGGTGTCCTAGAGTCTTTGGGAGAAAATGGGGAAAACAGAGAATCATAGAATCTTTAAGGTTGGAAAAGACCTCCAAGATCATCCAAGTCCAACCATCAACACTTCCAGGACCACTAAACCCTGTCCCCAAGTGCCATATCCACATATTCTGAACCTCTCCAGGGCTTGGGACTCCCCCACCTCCCTGGGCAGCCTGGGCCAGTGCCTCACTAGGAAAGAAATTCTTCCCAATATCCAGTCAAAACCTTCCCTGGCACAACTTAAGCCTATTTCCTCTTATTCCATCACTAGTTATGTGGGAGAAGTAAACCACAGAACATCCTAGTTTGACTGTAGAGCTGTGACATACAAATATCATTGCTTAAGCCAGTTTGCAAATAGTCATATAACAACTTGGAAAAAATTCTGACAAAGACAAATCATCATTGCTGTGAAGAAAATTGTGCTTCTCTAATGCACCAATATTCCTGAAGTGTCAGATTTATACTGGGGTTGGATTTCCTGGTGTCAAATGGCCTCTGCAGGGTTCATTGCAGTGAGTGATGTAGTGGACACCAAGAAGGTCGGGCCAGGTAAGAGTCAGATGTTCACATGAGTGCTGCCAGCAGCATAAACTCAAGGTAGGGGTACAAGAGGGGTATAAATCCACAAGTTTCCTCGCTCTCTAACAGCCTGGTTTCTGTACCTCTGCTTGAGGGAGCTTGTACTAACCTGCTGCCCAGGGTGTGTGAGCTGGTGACACTCTCCTCTGACCTGGCACAGCACAGGCTGAGCACATCTACCGAGATCCATCATCAGCATGGGCTGATTCCCTTCCTGATACTGCCCTGCTCATAAACCAGCACTGCTGGGCAGCTTCAGCAGGGAAGTAGATAGAGTCTCCAGACACATGCTTAAACTTAATTCCTGTTTTGATCCTGTTTTTCCCCACTCTTTCTTTGAACTGGGACCAGCTGAAGAGGCGGGCGTAGGAGCCACCCCCAACCTGGAGGACCACGCTGCAGGAGATGCTGCTCAAGGTTAGTGAATCATCTGTCCTGGGTTCCAGTTACTGCTGCCCACGTGTGTGGCTGGTTGCTGGTGGCTTGGGAATTTTCTCCAGTTGTGGAAACCCCCTGCACTGTGTGAGCAGCTCCACAGTTCTCCCTGTTCCTGACGGGAGGGTCATACGTGCTTTGAATGTTCCAGCATCTTCATTTCAAGGAACTGCAGCTTTTCATGCACCAAATTTCTCTCTCAGGTGGCTGAAGCCCTGGTGCTTCCTTTGTCCAGTTGCAGAACAGGGTGGAAAAGGTAATAAACAGAGCTGGGATGTGTGGTTGGCCAGGAGGAGCTGCTCAGTGTTGATCAGAGTCCATTTTGGGCCCTGCTTGTCACAAAGGAAATAAGTGAATTGTTTAGTTACTGTGTCTTTAATGTAAAACATGTCTCCAGCCTACTCACTGATGCCCTGACTCCAAGGACAGGGTTTTTTTCATCCCAGTCTTAGGGAATGTGTCTGACAAAGCCAGGCACGGTGTGCTGGGAGTGTTTTGAGAGTGTTAATTGTGCATCTGCTCGTGATGAGCCAGGAAATGATCCTGGGACCTCTTGGCCTCTCTTGACTCTGCTCAGTTGAGACTTGCTGGAAAACTTCAGGACAGGGTTTTCCCAAAGCACCCAACACTAGCTTAATTCTGTGCCCAGTGGGGCAGAGTTTGGGGTTCAGACTCACTGGGATATCGCTGTCTTGCCAGCACCAATGCACCACAGCAGTATTTGCATTTTACATTTGATGTGCTGTGTAAATTCTTAGTTAAACCCCATTTTGTGAGGTAGTTTTCTGCACAGTAGACATAACACATTCCTCCAGTTCCTCCTCATGGCTGCATTGGTGCATTTACAGACATCCATGCCTTTTAAAGAATTAAATAGGTCTTTGCCTTCTCAGCTCAGGGCAGAATTCAGGTCGTCTTTGCTTTCCACACACATGAGCACAGTTATCTGCAGTCTGCTCCCTGCAGTTAAAGTAGAGCCTTCACTCCCCTGGCCAGTGGCTCTCAGGCTAGCAACTCTTCTGTATTTAAAAAAGAAACCAAGACTCATTGGGCGAGGGGTGAAGTTCTGCTCTCTGCCCTGCTCAGTCTGATTCTAGCTGCTGTTTCTCACCAGAATTTTCATAAGACCTTTCTGTACTGTCCTGGGCTCTTCCCACTGGCAGATGTGGGGACATCCAGGTACCTGGAGGTCTGATAGAACCTCTCCATGACATTTCTAGGTTCTTATGTAATTGTTACTTCTCTGAAAGTGGACTTGTAATAATGTGCTCCTTGCTTTTAACTGTCCTCTTTGATTTGGAGGAAAATGTGACTGTTGATACACACAGGCTTGGATATCTTGTTATTAGGTAACTTCCTTTTTTGTGTTGTGGGATTTGAATAAATGATCTTTGCAGTGAAGGTGGAGCTGTCACATAAAAGGTGTTTCTTGATGTCACATGTCAAATAGTACCTGCCAATAGGTGCTGATTTAGGATTTCTCTTAAACCACAATTTCCAAGGTCTTTGTGTGCTAGTTTGGCTTGACCATTATCTTAAAACATCAATAAAAGGCTGAGTCAGTCTTGACTTCTTGTTTTAATCTTGTTTGTTAGTCTAACAAAGCAGAAACCAAACTCTCAGTACTGAAGTGCTCTGATCCAGGCTCTTTAGTTTACCCAAGCAGTGCTCAAAAAGAGCAGAGAGTATTTGAAGCTGGACAAATTCATGAGATAAGATGCACGTTGTTACTAGGGCAGTTGACTTTAAAGCAATTTACCTGTGTTGGGGGTGAATTCTTCATTGCTCAGTGCATCTTTGCTTCAGCTGAATGAATGTCTAGCAGGAAAACTGCAGCTCAACTAGAATATATGGCTTAATGCAGCAATTGTTGGGTGAAATTGTGAAGCTCTATGTCATGCATGAGCTCAGCAACTGAACAGAATTCTCTCTTTTACACCCTGCCCCCCTCCAAAAAAAAAAAAAAGGGAGATCTGTGTCTCTGTGACCTTGTGTTTTGGGTTTTAAACATCACACTTTCTGCTCTGCCCAAATGGTGGCAGCAGTGCTGGAGCTCTGAGCCACCCAGGTGGGTGCACAGTCCAAAACTGCTGTGACCCTGTGGCTACAGCCACACGTTTACTTCCAGTCCTGTCTGCTGAGGCTGTGCTCTCCACTCACAGCAACGAGAGAGGAGACATAGGAGTGCTCTCCCCCAAGCTCGTTAGCAATAGGAATGATCTGGAGAACAAAGCAGAGATGGTTTCAGCTCTGGGAGGATCTAACTAGTGCCATGTCTGCATGAACGTCTCCTGCAAGGGAGGAGAGGGTTGTGGGGATTTTGTAAGCCTGTGAAGGAGGGGAGGGTGTCTGGCCTGTTTTGTTTCAGCCCTTGAGGCAAGAAGAGGTGGTCACTGACCACCAGGATGGTCCAGTGGTGGTGTTAGGTTAGAAAATGGGTGTGTTCTTGGCTTCTGAAAACCTCCATAGCTAAACCAGCTCAAAGACCACGGGTATGGAGGATGTTGGTGGTTGGATACCCCCCACCCAAGACAGCAGCCAGGGAGGAGCCTTGTCTCCCATGTGCTGTGGCTGTTGCTGTTCCTCACGTTGAACATTCCCATGGGGATCCCAGAACCACAGACTGGTTTGGGTGGGAAGGGACCTTTCAAGGTCATCTAGTGCAACCCCCCTGCAGGGAGCAGGGACACCTGCAACTAGAGCAGGGTGCTCAGAGCCCTGGCCAACTGGGCATGGAATGTTTCCAGGGATGGGGCATCAGGGTTTCTTTAAAGGCAGAAGCCCCTGTAGAAGTGAGTTGTCGCTCAGTGGGGCAATGTGGGACTGGCTTCCTTTTCTCCTCTGGACTGATATTAGAAACCCTTAGTTTCTCTTCAGCATTACTTGACCAATGATTTGACATGCCTGTGCTAATTTTTCACCCATGCTTCATACCCTGCATCTTCAACTCCAGGGGAGCCAAGCTCTCCAAAGCTGCAGCCTAGCCCTCAGAAGCCTGTGGGAGATGCAATAAAAAGAGAAAGCCAGCCCACAAAGCAGGTACCTGGGGTGCTTCAGCAGCCTCCCCTGTCACATGAGACGAAGGCTACAACAGCAGCTCCCACCAGAATCGAGGTCACCATCCCAATACCCCTGGATATGTACCAAGACTCCAGAGCATCTGAAGACAACAGCGAGCTGTGGGATCGTCGAGGCAGAGAAGGCATTGGTGTGGATCCAGGGCTGGGAGCAGAGCTGGGGCCTGGTGTGTGTGCTGAGGGCCTGGCAGGAGCAGCTGTTAAAGATGGGCCATCTCCTTTATGTACCAGAGCTCTGTTAAAAGAAGATGCCAGTGGACAGGAGAGAGATGAGGACCGTGATATTGATGAAACTTCTGCACAGTTTTTCCTTTCCCTGGTGGGTCAGCAAGTTGCACCAGGACCTGAAATGGGCTTGTGTCCAGCAACCACCAAGGAAGCTCTTGAAGAACATGCCTTTGGAGAAAACAAGTCCAAAGATGTCCTCAGAGACACCCCAAGAGAGGCACTCACTGAATCTGAATCACATAAAGCAGGAGAGGACCAAGAGGAGAGGAGGCAGCCGTTGAGAGGGGAAGAAGACACAGATGTCACCCCATCAGAGCCTTCTGAAATCATCTCCCAGAAAGAAGCAGAGCCTGGGGAGGGACAAGATTCTGGACCCTCTCTGGAAACAACCGTGGAGTTCAAAGAAGGTGTGGAAGGCAAAGAAGCTCCTCTGGAAGAGGCAGGAGGGCGTCGGACGCCCGGGAAGCAGCCGGGTGCCCGCCTTGCAGAGAGGGGCGTCAGTCGGGTCCCTCTCCTGAAAGGTGTGTGAGCTCATGCTGCTGGGGGCTTGCTCACCACCAGGCTGCCTGAACCAGCCCTTCAGCTTGCTGCCCTCTCTCCAGTCCTGCTGCTTGGGAAATGGCCTGGACCTTGGCTGTGAACCGATCTACAACGCGCCGCTGCTTCTCCCTCCCTCTGCTTCCCTCTTTAGTTCCACCCGGGAGGTCCTGACGTACCTGCCAGACCCTGGTGCTTGGGGTTCCCATCCCTTGCATGGCTCTGGCCTGTCCCCAGTCATGCTTTACTCACCTGGTTTTGGTTTGGTTTCCTTGGATCTGTGGCTTGAGCACCTTAACTCTCAACCTGGCGCCTGCCCAGCGGAGGTGAAGACCGTTTGGATGCCCTGGCATGTTGGAGTGGGGCTAAGCTGGCACACCCTGCAGCTCCTGCCAGCAGGACATGGCCCATCTGGTGTGCATGTGGCTGCTGCCCAGCACAGTAACTCTTGGCTTTCCTAAAGAGGAGGGAGGAGGAAAAAGATGAGTGAGGTGGCAAGTCTCACCATGGAGAAGGCCCTGCTTTGGTCCTGTTTGGTGTACCTTAAACAGCCACTGCTGATGGCTGTTGGAGGCAAGGTCTGCAGCCAGCTGGCCCCTTCCCCCTGCAGGGCATGTCCGATGCTCTTACAGAGCATCCTGCTCCTATCCCAGTGCTGGGTGGGGTGGTCCAGGGCTGTGGCTGTATTTCACAGAATCCCACCATGGTGGGGGGTTGGAAGGGACCTCTGGAGATCATCTCATCCCACCCCCTGCTCCAGCAGCTCACCCACAGCAGGGTGCCCAGGGTCACAGCCAGGTGGGTTTGGAGCCTCTCCAGAGGAGGAGACACCACAGGCTCTCTGGGCAGCCAGTATTTGGGGTGTTCTGTGGGAGCTGCCTGTGTGTGTGTCCCTAGGCTAGGCTGGGAGGGCAGCCAGGCCCTGGAGCTGCTGTCCTCATACAGCAGTCTTGGCTGTCTTAGAATCATAGAATTATAGAATGATTTGGGTTGTAGTGGACCTTTAAAGGTCATCTAGTCCAGCCCATTGGTCTTGGTTGGAGGTCTGAGTTCACTGAATGCACGAGCATGTCTACCAACAGAGCAGCTCTTAGACCTCTTATTCTCCAAGAGGTGTTTTCCACCTTTGCTGGGGCTTGGAGGGATGTCTCTTGGGTCCTGCTTGGAGCCCAAACACAATTTTTCTTTCTGAAGAAAAAGCTGATGTAGCTTTTTCCATCAGAGCTAAAGTTCATAAGCTCATAACTGATTTCTCATCGTTCACTACCTAGAAAGCTGGTGGGGAGCTTTGCACGTGTGCTGCAGGGTGGTGGCATGGCTTACTCCAGAGCCTGGACACGAGGGTGGGCTGGAGCTGCATTGCCCAGAGTCAACCAGTTTCTTATTCATTAGCAGGAATTTAATTATTATCTCCTTCAAAGTCAGAATCACAGAATTGTAGAATACTGTGTTGGAAGGGACTTCAAGGATCATCTGGTCCAGCCTTTCTTGGGAGAAGCACAGTCTAGATAAGATGACCCTGCACCCTGTCAAGCTGAATCTTAGCAGTGCCCAATCCTGGGGACTCCACCACTCCCCTGGGGAGATTATTCCAATGGCTGATTGTTCTTGTTGTGAAAAATTTTTCTCCTGTGTCTGTGGAATCTCCTGAGGAGGAACTTGTACTCCTCACCCCTCATCAAACAGCCACTTTGTGGCTGTTCAGCTCCAGCCTTGCTCCACTCTGCAGGTTGAGTGAATTTGGGAAGGGAAGTGCATCCAGCAGCTCCAGGAGTTGCTGCTGGGGTAAGTCAGTGCTGGATGAACAACACTGTCCATAGAATCGTTCTGGTTGGAAGAGACCTCCAAGATCATCAGGTCCAATCCTTAACCCAGCACTGCCAGGTCCCCACTGCCCCGTGTCCCTCACACCACATCTCCTCAGCTTGGAAACCCCTCCAGGGGTGGGGACTCCACCACTGCCCTGGCCAGCCTCTCCCAGG